CGGCAGAGCTGCGCCGTCGTCGGCCGGCGGCGCGCGCGACCGTTTGACCTAGCCCGTACCGCACCGATATCTGCCGTGTCATGACCGCCGACCGCGTCCAACGGTGCCACGACAGCGGTGTCGGCTTACAGAGGACTGATGCGCCGATACGACGCCGGTTGGAGCCTGCGAGTGCTTCGGTTCGATTAGTGCTAATTGCTAGGAGGGAGATTAGGTCATGTCTTGGATTGGTGAAGGAATGCAAGGGCAGCTGACAACTTAATGAGGTCAGACCTTATAATGGCATTATTTATGAGGTCGGGCCTTTTAGAAACATGTGAATTGCTTTTAGTTCAGCTTTGGCTCTAGCCTCGTGGATAATTCATCAATGAGTGCTAGGTTACACTCACATCCGTATTGGTAAAGTTAGATAATTGGCTGTATAGGCTTATAACTGCTGGAGCATACTCGTATACACAGTCCACAGGGTCTAATGTTCATTGCCTGCTTAACGAAAGTAGAAAACTGACAAGACAATATCCCAAACAAACGCGTGGCCTTACCATTGTTCTAGAGGCTGGTCCGGTACCAGTAATAAGTCACGCCCTATCCCCCCCTTTCCAAGACTGTCACATCGAATCGGTGAAAACACGCCCGTTCAGGCATATCGACGAAAAACATGGCTGCTCCAGTTTCATTCTTACTACTCGGCCAACTTCTTGTCAGAGTAATCTTTCACTCCGCATCATCTGTTATCTTTGTGAGAACGGCATTGATATGGTGATGCTGGAGAACATTTGTGTCAGACGAATGGCTCCGTCTATTGTGTGACTCGAAGTGCCCGCCTACTTCGCCGGTGTATTAGTGGCGAATTTGGTTCATCAGTTCGGTGCGTAATGATGGACATCTGGACTATTTATCAAAACCTTTTGTTCTTAGTGCTAATACCAGACAACATACAAGGGCCAGACCCTGATCTCTGCTGTAAAGGAAAATCTGACATAGTTTCACTGATTCGATGCGAGAGCATTTCGATATTTTACCGTGGCACGTAGGTAGGTACTAGGTAGGTAAAATGTTGGCGAGGTCGCTAAGTAATCAAGCAACTGAAACATCTGCGGAGTTTTGTTTTAGCGCCATTAACATAATTCGTAAACAACATAGTTGTCAGTGGATAACATTTCCGACCTCAGACAGACGAATAAACAAGGATAAATTTTCTAACAACATCACGAGAGGCCAAAAGTAAGCGGCAACTGCTCACCTGGCTACACCTCAGCTGAGTTGCCACGTCATCGGCTCCTCCATCTCCAAGCGTCCGCTCGTTTCGATCCATCCCCGCCGCTCTGTCAACAGAAAGTTGCGTGCGTATCGCGGCAGCTTTCAGCAAACTCAGTGAGGCGATCGTATGCGTCAACATCCACGCCGACGGGATGTCACTTTTCGCGATTGGCCAGCTCTCTACGAGTATTCCGATCCGATCGCTCACCTTCTGGAGATGAGTCTGGCAGGAGAAAAGCTTGACACTCGGGCGGCATCTCATTACGCATGCTGTCTGCATGACCGCATCCATGCTACTCTGCAGGGTCGTGGATGGCGCCGGGCGGCGACCGATGCAGAGGGATGCCGGTGATCAGATGACCTTCCCCCCCCCCGCCCTCCGCCCCGCCAGGTCAGTAGGTGATTCCGGCGGGATGGACTGCGGCCGGTTAAATAGCGTGCAGAGGATTGACTGTAGAAGGTGGGCCGTAGGTCAGTGAGGCCAACGGTGCATGATGCGCTGCTCATTAGTCATTGCATTGTGCTGTTGATTGCTGTGACGTAGGCGCTATAATTGAAAATGGTAATGAGGTACATGCGTTTATAATTTTGACGATTAGAACGGTGATTGCGTGCATGCATGCTTCCCGATGTCGGATGTTACTTGCGAACTGAAACAACTATGAATGCAAATTCCCTTACTATGTAAAATGCAGTAAAATATACCTAATATGTTTCGTTCATCAACAGAGCCGGGCATCAGCTGTCAGTGTGCTGTAGCTTTAATGTGTTTTATTCACGGGACTGGTACCTATAATAAGAAACGTAGCGGGTGGTGGGTTCAACATGTTCCATTGGCAGGTAATTGTCGCGTAATTGCTGAAAATAACACACGTGTGTGACTTACGGGCAGATTGCACGCACGCTGAGTCCTTTTCATGGGCATTGATGGTTTCAATTGTTTTGCACGTGACCAGGTTGCACGTGACTAGCCGGACCTCAGCTAATTAGTTGTACAGGGTAGGGTTGAGTGTGCCACATCTCCGAAGTGGCACGCGGCGACCTGCTGAGGCCATTTGTTTGCGTACATTGTCAGTTCGTGACGGCAATGTCATTGCTAGGGTAAGTTTTCCGAGAAAGTGATTAACCTCAGTTACATTCGTGCGTAGTGTATTCGTTCCTAAAATATGTTAACGTTCCAGGTTTCATCCAATGTTTGGACCGCCACCGTTTTTTACACACAGCTAGCTCCTGATAAAGAGAATGTATCAAACTTGAACTGGAAAGTGAGAATGAAATCAAATACGTCACTAGCTATTTTGTCATACAATGATAACGATCGAAAATTAACTCGTCCAATTACGTTTACGGAAGAAAACGTAATTAGTTAGACAGCGGTGAAAGACGACACCATCGGCTGGCGTCACGGCCGCGCGCGACTCGGCGTGACGGCGTCGGAGGACCGAGTGCGGCGGTGGCGGCGCGACGCTGCGCCACAATCAGAGCATTGCGCCGCGTCCGGGCCGGCGGGGTTTCACCGCCGCGGCACCGAGAGACGCTCCAAGAACGGCGGAGTGTCGGCAGTCGGACTGTGTCCGTGTATCACAGTCGTGGAATAAACTGTAAACGAGTTCCCTTATAATTTACCTTGAAAGTGATGAGTGATGAGAAAGTGACGAAGCTGCTGATGCTGATACATAAAATGCAGGGTGTCGGCGAAAAACGTGGCAATTTCTAATGATTAGCCCAAGCTCAATGAGATTTATGACTTTTGCAGCATTGGCTCGCTCGCACCAGCCCAAATCAATAAGCTGTGACGGTCAGTAGCTCTCCCTAAACGACCGAGTGTTCCAGCTTCCTCAGTCGTCGAGAAGACGCCCTCGGCCGAGCCTCCCCCGTGCTCGTTTCTCCGTGACTTGCGCTGGGCGAGCTGCGACTCCTGCCCTCCTCCGCGGTCCGTGGTGGGCGTCCAGAGCTGTGAGTGTGGAATCCCCGGCCTTTCCAGCACGCACCCACGACAGGCATAAGACCGGGCAAAGCTCAGCCAAGCTGGCTTATGGTATCGGTTACCATGGAGTTGAATATCTCTCAGCATTTGACTACAAGTAACCATATGTTGGATTAATATGTTGGAATTCATTTATAGATCTGCCTTCTGAGGCCGTGCTCCTGAGAATGGGTGATACCGGGTCACGCCGTCCTGTGACAATCTTCTGCTGTGCCGCTGTGGTGACGCACGGAGATGGAACTGGGGTTCGGGTGGCGCTGAAGCGTGACGGTGAAATCGCGGTGCGTCACACAACGCACAGCGCCAACGATTCCAGATGTGATCAATCGAGGGATCTGATGATACTCAGTATCATGACGCGGATAGCACAAGTAAATTGTGAGCTGGCAGCTGCAATAATTTTTATTTCTAAAACGCAGTTCACACTTGCCCGTAAGGTCTGCCGGTGACGGGCCCGACACCGTCAAAACGGCCGAAACCGACGGAGCGACGGCCGTCAGGTCGACGGGCATGTGTGAACCGGCAGCGTTTGACGGCCGGCAACAGCTGACTGTGCCGGCGCCGGACCTGACGGCCGTCGCTTTGGAAAGTTCAGCAATGTTCAACTTTTGACGGTGACGGGCCCGTCGGTTTGAATGTCTGCGTGTTGGAGGAAGAGGAAAAGGAACGTTATCATGCAGCATGAAGCTTAAATGCATTTCTAAGATAATTTATATCATTTTCCATGAATCCATCCATTTGTTGAGATGAAAGTGTTTATTAGGTACGGCACGATATCTTGAGATTCGCTCCCTAATTTGAGTCAGCGAACCGATGTGTCTTTCATCAAAATAAAATTGCAGCATTGTTTGACATAAAAATGTAAAAGCGTGGCATTTTATTTCTGTAATTCAAAGAATATTTTTAACTTCTCGGCCTCTACCCTTGGCCTCTACCCTCCCCCATCCCCTTCCCCCATCTGCGTCCATCTCGAAAATGGTGCGCCATTTCTGTCACAACATATGGCAGCCAATGGGAGCTACCAAATCTCAACTTTCGTTTGACGGGCTGCAGGCCGTCAGGTCGACGGTGACGGGCCCGACACCGACAGACTGACGGTCATGTGTGAACTGCGTTTAAGACGGTTGCAGTGTCGGGCTTTCTTAGGGATGAGCTACAGTTGTCAGCGAAAAAATATACGAACACCACTTATCCACAGTTAAATAAAACTGTGTTTGCAGTAGTTTTTCGTTTGGCTATACCTAAAAGTAAAGTCCCTTATAAAAGCAGCGTGATACATCAAAAGACACTTTTTAGTTTTGTATTCATTAAAGGAAGCCAGTTATATTGCGCGCTAATGACATTTTTAGTGCGGTACGACACGCTACGCACATTGCAGTACACACATGTTGTTAGCTGTATCATGGCTGTATTGTGAAGCCTATCCAAACACACCAAGAATACGTTTATTTCGGATCAAATGAGGCAGCTGTACACGATGAGCAGGTCATTTCAATGACTCAGACACGACGAGATCTTGGTAAGCAGCGAGACAGCAAATGCACACTGCGACATATCCGTTCGTGCGTATATTTAAACATCGGTCGAGTGTTATGAGCGTGTCACGGGTTTGTGGCGGGGGCCTTCTTTTGTTCGCCAACAGCCTCTACTGAAGGCATTTCACCGTCAGGATGGTGTGTTTTCTTGTCTGTAGCCTCATCCTCCCTGCCTCCTGTGTGTACGGCGCAGTGCTTTTTGAATCCTCCGCCACGTCTTCTGTGCGCCATGGTAGAGCGAGGGCGCTGTCCCATGTCTCGGCGGCCAAGACTTTCTGCGAGATTTTCTTCTTGAGCATCGGGAGAAATGTCTCCTGTCGTCTGATCCTCACCACTCTCCATCTCTGGAAGGGTGCTGCTTTGGCCAGAGGGCTTTGGCTGCCTTGGCGGTGGCCTTATCTGAAAAAAATCAACGAGAAATGAGACGTTTTCCCATCATTCCATGTACTGCTTCAAGCGTGACACATGGAAATGACAAAGCCGAGGGCAAATAACACATGTTTTAAGCTTCACCCTCGTGCTACAGCGACATCACATTACATATGTAGCATTGTTTTTGTCTCTCCTGCCATAATGCCAATACAGTTTTGATATAGTATTTCGTTGTATGAGGAGCTGTGCCGTTTTTGTTTTGCTTCATAAATGATCAAAGTTGGTCCGTCTAACTGATGTTGATTTAAAAAATCACAAAACAATTCCTGACGCCATGCATAACATTATACTTACCAACGAGTGATGAGCTTGTTTGCATTATCAGCCCACTCGTAGTTAGTGCCTCACCTCACTGAACCCACGTGGCGGGCGTCCCCAAAGCACACTGGACGCCGAGTGAAAGCAGACCCCCACACCACACACTTCGTTTGAAGCGGCCAAGGCCGAATATCAGGCCTGGGGGCAGGAACACGAAAGCAGCCAACGCCCTGTTACGAGCATCGAACGCAACTATGGCGCAGCTAAGACAAACAAGCGCGTTTTTGCGGTGAATTTGAATGCCGGCTGATCTCGTCAGCTGAGATACGTGCCTAAGGTGCCTCTTTGATTTTTACAACACACAGTCCGTTTGCATGCCTTGCATCGTCAGCATAGCTCGCTTTCGGCACTAAGCAGGTTTCCGTTGGTAAACAGTTTGGAGACTGGGTGGCGGTCCGCCCCAGCTCCTGGCGGTAGCGTTGGTGGATGCCGGTGATCAGCGATCGATACCATCGGTCCCTTCCCCCGTCTCTGAATCTCCCGAACTGGCGCGGTGAAGAATTTGATAGAAAGGTACATAAATGTTAGTTTCAATATGACAAATGGTATACTTAACTCGATCGCATTAGCTGTGTAGTGTGTACGAACATCACAGCACAGTTGGCAAATAAATTCAGGGAAACTTTTTTGCCAGTGATTACTATTTTCCCTACGAATAAATAGCGCCTAAAGATGATCATAACGTGTTGTCAATAAATTTTACCTACGAATTTTAATGTATTTGGTTCATCTCCTGTTTTCGTCTTTTCTATACATAGTGCATTCGCTTTTGATTCGCGGCGGCTTTCATTGGTTAATTGGTACCTAATCAACAAGCTCAGTTCGTCCAGTGAACTCATGGCACTCAACTGATTTACCATCCTCCGCTTTCCCATGACGAAACGGTGGGACAATGACGTTGTAAATGAGAAACCGTCTCGTCACTAGACACACGTAGGTATACCTACAATCACATTAGACCCCCGAACCCCTCAGATTCCTGTCTCTCGGCTGAGGCAGTAAAAACGAGTAGCCTAACTACATACAATGTGAGGTGAAAGGTGTCCCCGTCTCTAATACGCCATTGAACTATTAATACACCCTCTTTGAGAAGACTTTGTGCTGAGATGTTACATACACAGTAAAATGACGCAACCGTCTTGACTTGCTGGATGTATTGACGAATTTCGAAAGTCATCATATTTTGCTGTTAACCCGCGCGGGGCTGGGGGGGGGTAAATTTTACCCCCCCTCGCGAATTTTTGCGATATCTCAAAAACGGCGGCGCGCAGCGCCGCCAAACTTTCAGTACCTTTTCTTACATCAATTTGACACGTTCCCTGAAAATTTGAGCGAAATCCGTCGGAAAATTTTTGAGAAATTGACGTTTTAGTGACGTCATGTTCGCCATTTTCGCCTCAAAAACGGCAAAAGTTCAAACGCCGCTAACATCTTCATTTTTAAAGGAATCAAGACGTAACAAAAAAGGTTATACGTAATTTTACTTTGTCTATCAAATGGCTATCTCGGTTTTTTGAAAATTTTGGATTTTGGCCTAAATTTTTCCAAAAAACTGACTTTTTTGGAAAAATCATTATAAAATCCAAAATTTTGAGTCTATCGAAAAAAACCGGAATATATGTCAGAGAAGTGGTCTATGTACACCTACATACCAAATTTTAGAAGAATCGGTTCAAAAATGTGGGAGTTATTCAAAATTTTATGACGTCACGACACACAAATTTTTTGAAAAATGACTTTTTTGGAAGTTCTAGACCTCGTACGGAAACAAAAATAACACCATTCGATTCGCCGTGAAAAACTGCATCAGATAGACACCTTTTTAGGCCTTAACAACCAACTTCAAAATTTGACCTCACTTGACCTGACCTTGACCTGACCTCGACCTGAAATTCATCCAGAGGTGGTCCATATCACTTATTGAGTGTGCTTATTGAATTCTATGAGTAAAATTACCCATAAAACATGTGTCGCACATGCCCTTTTCTATATTTTGTTTTTTGGTGACCTGACCTGACCTGACCTGACCTTGACCTTGACCTCTGAATGATATTGTATGCAACGAATATTGTCTTGGTAGCCTAAGAACACGTTTTGGGCGATCAGTCTCAGTCCATGACTCCATTCTTCGGCAACTACGGTGCAAGGCCGATACTGTAGAAACTTGCAATTTGTACCCTTGACCTGACCTTGACCTTGACCTCAAACTTTAAATTAAGTACATGTTTTTAGTAGTTCGTGATGAGAGCTTTCGATTGGCGTTTGAATTTTCCAAATCGGACCATTAGTTCGGGAGATAACAGGGGGGGTAAAATTTACCCCCCCCCCCCAGCCCCGCGCGTTCGGCTGGAGACCCCAGCCCCGCGCGGGTTAAGAGTAAAGCTTAATGGAATTATCGGTGCTTATTTGGGCCCTCATTAAAACGACAGCTAACTGAAAGTGAAACGGCCAGGGTTGATTGGTTCATTGCTTTGAAGTAAAAAACCCATTGTTATAAGGCTTCATGCATTGCATGTTTTACCTATATCAGCAACATTGATTCTCATCTTCCTACATAACGAACCCATTCTTAGGGTAGATGTAAATCTATTCAACCGATACCTACTGATGCGTAAGTAGCCGTATATATATGGTTATGGCTTCTTTGGACATGCATGGCTAACAAAGTGAGTCGATATGCGAGTGCTTGTATTTATGCTTAGGTGTGGATATGTTAGATAACCTCACCAGCCGACAGCCGTTTTCCATGTCATTCAGAACATCACAGATCCCCCGTTGTCCTATATTCGTTGCCGCCGTTTTACTCGCCCATAGAGCCGCTCCATACCAGCGCAGTATATAAGTGTGCCACACGATGACTTTCCCACCGGTGGACAATGGGACGTAATTGAGACACGCGCCGGCCGATTGTGACGGCCTTTGGTCGCCGCCGAGCCGGCCAGCCGCGGCCTCAGAGCACCGCCGAGACGCATCGAGCCGACCGAAACGGGCTGGCTGAACCGAGCCGACTGAACCGAACTGATCGAACCGAGTCGAACCGAGCTAGACCGAACCGAGCTGACCGAACCGAGTGGCAATCGAACCGAGCCGACCGAACCGCGCTGGCCGAGCTAGCGACTAACGAGCTTACGGAGCTAGCCGAACTTACTTATGTCAAACTGTGAGCCAAGTGAGCAAGGAGGGAGGTTCATACAAACATCGAAAAATAAGTTGAGCTGAACTTAGCCGCAAGGCGAGCTGATTTACCGAGCCGGGTTTGTAAACAGCTGGCCGTGCTATGGGAGCTCGGACCGCGGCCTGCAGTCGGCCAGTGAGTCGCAGCTGGGGAATTCGGCCACATGCCAACACGTCGATCCGTCATCCCGGCCATTGTGGCTCTAAAACGCCATGTGATTTATACCTCTCTGGCCCGGCGCCGGATTCGTCGCGGCCGTGCGGCGACTTTAATACGGACACGGAACTGGTGAACTGGGGAGTCCCGGACTGTTTGGTGGACGGATAGAATAGGCATTTTCATATCACACCGAGTGGGAACCCAGGGAAGTTTTTACCGGCTAGACAGACAGCATCGGGTGGCCCTGTTGGCTCCCGTGGGACAACTTTGTAACGCAACACATGAGATATTTTGCTAGTTTCCCACTCCGACGAAACTGGTGTAGGTACTGTTTTGCCTGTCGGTTTGTTATAACATTAGATCAGCGTTGCATTTCTGAGAAAGCCCGACATGGGAACTAAAGAAGAATTATTGGGAGCACGGAGCAAATGGGCAAAGATCCAGAAGCCTAGGCAAAAGGACAATGAGCACTGAGCAATGTGGAATGTGTGAAGTCATTTCTCACTTCTCAGTTACAACTTACAAGCCCTGTAAACCATCTCCGCCGAGCAGATAAATTTGGTCTCTTAGCAGTCATAAAACGACGGACCTAAGTCAAAATTAGCATTTTGGGCTAAGTGCGGTACTGTCGCTGTGACTCTACGTTCCAAGATTCCATGCGATCTTCTTAGTTATTAGTGATAGCTGCACTGACCCGATGGAAGACGACTCCCATCCCCACCAGGGCCCCGACCCCGGCAGACCGTCTCCGAGGCCGAGCGCAGCGCCGCCGATACGGCGTGGGATGTGTGAAACCGTGCGAGAGACATCCGTAAGAAAAACGCCCCAAGAAACTGCCAGTGGAAAACAGCCGTAAAGGAGGACACACTCACAGTGGGGTGAATGCATTCGATAAGGAGCGCACTGGCAGAATGCAGAGACTTGAGGTCGAGCGAGCGGTTTTATACGCTACTATTGCGTAATGCGTAGTTCGATTTATTTGCTCCGGGAAATCAGAATGAAGCTGTTATACGAGCATGTGCATAAAGCTTCCCAAAAGTATATTCGAATGAATATAAACGTTTCATAGGAGGTGTCCTGTTACCCCCCCCCCCCCCCCCCCCCCTCCTTCGTACCATTACTCACAGACAGACTGCTTCATCGGTGGTGATGGCTCATTCTCAGGCCGTTTATGTGCAAAATGCATTGTTGAATTGTAGAATATGTGGGAGTAAATAGCTATATCATCTAACATAAAAAAGAAATAAATGCACACCGTGGAAAGCATGTGCTGTCTAACGTAGGTATGCGATAAATAATGAACTCATACGGCATACCTATCATATGTATGCGGCATTTTGGCCATTGTCAACCTATATGGATTAGAAGTGCCTTCGGCGCCACCGTTCAAGAGATGACCTACTTGCCCCAGTCTCACGTTGGAATGTTCGTTGCTTGCCGGTACACATTCCTTTCAAGGGTCACCCTCAGGCGTTCATTTATGAGCGCGCACCTTCGCCGAGAGCTTTCTTGTAGTAATTATTTGTGTCGTCCCAAACAGATGTCTCAAAAACGAATGTCTTGCCATGTCGCCGCAAAGCTTTCCAATTACAATTCTGTCGTTTAAGGTGGCTCGTTTGCCGGGCGCCACAGCACGCCATAATCACTGTTCATTTTCCTCTGTAAATATGACAGATGACCTGTCGGAAAGCCATTACGCCGACCCGGCTCTCGGGCCATTCGGGGCAGCACGCCGGCGCGCGGTCCGGTCTAAACGCAGCCTGCAGAGCGGTTCAGTGAGAAGACCGTGT